TGGTAGGAGTGTTAAAAGACTACACCAAAATTTTATAGGAACTGTAAATATTAATTACACTATATCTTAGCGTGTAGTTTTTTGCCTCCTTGGCATATGCAAAGTAACTAAAAACTGAATTTAGCAGCAAGCTTAGCACTTAGATATGCCAAAAACCAAACCGGGCTGTCTATGTAGCTTTAAAATAAACCTATGTGAGCAAATCTCATGAGTTGCTTTTTTTTAGTATCACTTGCTTCTCTCGCCATAAAAAACGCTAAAGCATTCTTCTTGCATTTATGCATTTCAATCTATTTAGTTAAAATTTAACGGTGCAAATGGCAAAACGGACGAATCTAGTGCAATAAAATTAGTGTGTCAGCAAATGAAAAAGATTACATTACAAATTAAAATACGACCATGATTTGAGAAATTAAAATTAAATTTTTAAAATTTTTACTGGCAAACTTGAAATTCATTCAAAATTCTTATATACGTGAACGAATGAATATATTTTTGCATAAGGAATACTGTTTAAAAATCTCTTTTAAATAATATGACTTTTAAGTTAAAGCGCGAGAGCTAACGAATTAGATGATTGCGTATGATGCTACGGGGCGTATACGTTACATACGCAACTACGGGTATGTATACTGTATATCGAGCCCTAACCGCCAAAATAACGTAAGCGACATTTTTTTCAAAATTTTCTTTTTGATGCAGAAATATTCCTTGAGCGTCTAGAATCTAGATGCATTTCTGCATCAAAAAGAAAAATTTGAAAAAATTGTCGCTTACGTTATTTTGGCGGTTAGGGCTCGATATTATGTATGTATATTAGCACAAGTGGTTAATTTTACATAGATTTATACCCGAGCGCACATGTGCGTAAGGGCGTTATAACTTTGTTCCCATAACGGTTGCTTTTAACAGCCAAAACGAATCGAGATAGATGTAGACAAATGTATATATAAATAATTAGAATGAAAAGAGAAATCGATTAAGTGGTGACTCGTCTGTGCACTCGATTACTCGAGTAAAATTTGAGATATCCTAATAACCACGCCTATCTCCCTTATAACGGTAGTTTTAAGAAATACGAAAACTGCGCTATTTTAGTAACTACTGAAGCTTATTTACTCAAAAGTGATATACATATACAATCACTTTTAGACGAACAATGAGAGCATTATTATAAATTTTTGGAAAATCGGCGTAGCCACGCACACTTATGTTTACATGTGTTTATGTGTTGTTGGCCTTGGTACAACATACCAAATGGCTGAACATTTTTAAAATCAGACAGTAACCACGCCCACATACCATATAACGGTAGTTTTGAGATATGCGAAATATTCGATAAATCAGTAAATACTGAAGCAAGCTTATTCCAAATTTATGTTTGCAATAATTCTTTAGCAAAAAATAAGTGTATGATAAAATTTTGGTACTTATGACCACATATGTGTAGCTCGGTAACCGTTAGATCAATTTGTGCTAAACTCGGAATGATTATTGTGCTTGCTACACGAAAGCAAAACCTTGAAAATTATTGAAATCGGACTAGAGCTACGCCCACTTTTCATATAACGGTAAATTTCAGAAATGCTTGAAACTTCGATATTTCGAAATTTAAGGACGCTTATTTATTTACAATTGATTCTAACAACAATCCCTTGAAAAGAAGTAAGATTATTAAGGATCTTGAAAAATACGCTTATTACCGCCCACATCTTATATGTAAAAATGAATGTAAGTATATATGTATTAGGGCGATTTTTTTGCGACTATCGCAAGAAATATCGATATTAGCGATTTGGTGTTCTTTTTTTGTAGGAAATTGAAAGTCCTACAAGTTTGTCATTTATACTTTTTCTGTAGCTCTTGTTATTTTCGAGATAGGGGCAAAAAACAAGTATTTCATGAAAAAATTGGGTGCCCCGTACTACCTCGCTGGTGGGAGTTAGGATGGCACCGCAATGTACACTTTTGTAGAGCATTCAATTCCAAAGAAAACCCATCATTGACCAAGATTATACCATAAAATGCCTCTGAGCTGTAGATTTTTTAAGAAAAATACTCAAGCGTTTTTCTTGCACGTGGAGAAGTAGATCGACCAGCCTACAACAATACCAACAAAAATACTTAAAGTTTACGTGTATTTTCTATGGGAAATCTTTGCGCGCCTTGGGCGCAATATGTTAATATTAAGGGTTCAAATTTTCAGGGAGCTTTTTATGGTGTTTTCCACAAAATTCTGAGGTATGTGTGTCGTGAAAAAAACAATAGTCGCAAAAAAAATCGCCATAATATGTATATATAATAGACTCCTAAGCCGTTCATCCGACTGTGACCAAATTTGAGTGAGTGGTTGAGGGTAAAAGGCGTTTAAAACCGCTTTTGACAGCACTAAAAGGGAGTTGCCTATACGCTGCTATGTCTGAATTTGGCATCCCCTCAAAACTCATACGGCTGTGTAAAATGACGTTGAGCAATACCACCAGCTCCGTCAGAATTGGAAAAGACCTCTCCGAGCCGTTCGCCACAAAACGGGGTTTCAGACAGGGCGACTCCCTTTCATGTGACTTCTTTAATCTGATGTTGGAGAAGATAATAAGAGCATTTCGTTACTTGGGAACCAGCATTAACACCGATAATAATGTCAGCATTGAAATCCAACGTAGAATCACTCTTACCAACAAGTGCTACTTTGGACTGAGTAGGCTATTTAGGAGTAAAGTCCTCTCTCGACGTACGAAAACCACGCTCTATAACTCACTCATGGACAATGACAACATCCGATAAGGCGGCTCTTGGGGTGTTTGCGGAAGATTTACGGTCCTTTACGCGTTGGCGACGGCGAGTACCGCAGACGATGGAACGATGAGCTGTATGAGCTTTACAACGATATGGACATAGTGCAGCGAATTAAAATACAGCGGCTCCGCTGGCTTGGTCATGTCGTTCGAATGGACACCGACGCTCCAGCTCTGAAATTATTCAACTCGGAACCCGCTGGTGGTAGAAGAGGAAGAGGGAGGCCCCCACTGCGATGGAAAGATCAGGTGGAGAAGGACTTGGCTTCACTTGGCGTTTCCAATTGGCGTCAGTTGGCACAGAGGAGAAACGACTGGCGTGCTTTGCTGAACTCGGCCAAAATCGCTTAGGCGGTTACAGCGCTAAAAAAGAAGAAGAAGAAAATGTTACTCTTTCAGGAGGTAGAGCTACCATAATTTGAGAGCGAACGTTCTGTTTGTGAATAGTGTATACTTTGCAATGGAATATGCACTTTTTTATGAGCGACTTTAACCGAGGAATGAGAAATTCTTGTTGTGTCATGCGAATCATTGGGGATTTCTCCGCATGCAAAAGGGTTGTGTGAAGAAATTTGAGATAGAGTTCACAGAATCGGGAGTTTGCGGGCAATATGGTTGGGTGACGCTCGTTGTAACTTAGAGCGGCCCGGGCCAATCTGCCATTTACACGCATAAGACCCTGTTTGTCGAGAAATGGATTTAAGGTAAGCAACCTGCTCCTTTTACTTATGGGTTGGGCCCGAGTCAATTGAGAGTATTCATCCGAAAAAAATCGTTGTTGGGCTATGCAAATCAAGCGCGTCTTTGCGGCATTTATTTCATATTGAGTTACCGGGCCAATATCTTGAGATTTTTGTTGGCATTTCTGACTGAAACGAA